TTTTGGGTTGTGAGTTAATTATTTTTTGGTGCTAGTATTATTTCCCTAAGAGTTGAGATGTTTTTGAATTGAATTGTCATGTTATTTGGGAATCTGTGCCATTGGTTAGATATAATCTATAAGTTTGTGAATGATTATTTGATCAATGTATGAGATCAAAAAGTTGAGAATGATTATTTTGTTTTTGGTTTGAGGCTCGGCGTTATAGACCTTAGTCCTTGGCATGTTGGTAATGAGATAATGATCATGAGTTAAGAATGAGGTACAATCTTTATTTATATTTTTCTATGGTCCCCTACAGTGGGAATTGACCCGTATGTGGTCTGGTTTAAGGTGTTTTTCTGGTTATTGAGAGTAAGTTTTTATACTTGTTGGTTTGTTATTCGAATTACCTATGTCCAAGGCTAGGTATAAAACAAAGAGCGTGGCACACTTATTGGTTATGAGTTAATTGAGTGAAGGATTGTATTATTATTCGAAGTTGAGTTGATAAAGGTTATTTTTTAGAGTACAATGTGTAATGTAGTTTCGAACTACATTGTTTAATTGAGCTAGTATTGTCTATTATTCAATTATACTCTATATTCTGATATGTAGTGATTACTCAGCTTTTGCTGACGTGTGTGTTATTTTGTTTTGCTACTTGTGTTTGCGGCCATGTCTTTTTCTTATGGTGGCCCTGCGACGATCTATTTTGGAATTTGTCCTTAATGGTGAGCAGTCAAGTTTGTCTAAACAGGTTGATCAAGTGGTTGTAGCTAAAGGAGCTCAAGTGTTTCGATTATTTTGTTATAACAAGTTTGTAAAATTGTATAAATAGCTCACTTAGTTTATTGGGTTGTAATTATTGGGATTTTGTAAGCCTTAACACTTGACAGGTTGTTGAGTGTGGCGGTAATACCTCCGATTTAGGTGTATGCTTCCGCAATTTTATTTAAAGGTTGTTTATTTTTCCTTTAATTCTTGTTTATTATTAGTTAGTAAATTGGGGGTGTTACAAAAATAATCACTTAGACATATAACAATCTTAATAAAAAAATTAAGGGAAATTCTCTTTGGTAACACCATAGTTTTTAATTTTCTCAGTGGTGAATTGCGAAAAATTTTATTATCCTTGGTAAACTTGAACTTTTATATTAAGTCAACTATAACATTAATGATAAACTTTAACTAAATATTTAACTATAGTTAGATTTTTTTTTAGTTTTTTTTACATTTAAATGATTTAGAAATAATTTTATTTTTTTTAAAAAAGTCACCCCCTTTCCCTAAGCCACCAGGCTGCCACCACTCCAGCCGCCCCAACCCACGCCTCCCCCCAACCTCCGCCCTCTCTAGTGCACCGACATCCCCGCCCTGCTGCGCCTCTCCCCCACCCCCCCGAACCAGCACCCTTTTCCCCGAAACCCACCTCCTCCCTTCGAAAACCCTAAAAACCTTTCCCCCTCCCGAAATCCCCAACCGGCGACCTTCGATCTCTACCTTCTCTTCTTCTCACCTCACCATCATCGAAAAAACACAAACTTCTAACCAATTTGCGAAATTTTAAAGTGACCAGAATCCTAACTACACAATTGAATAATAATTTATGTGAAATAGAGGAAAGGGAAGGGGTGGAGATGTCGGGAGTGAGGAAAATGGAGGAAAGAGAAGGGGTGGAGGTGCCAGCGGCTAGTTGCGGTATGCAATTGGTGATTGCAGGCTATAGAGTGAGCTTTTGGAGTGAGAATTGGTGGAAGTTCGAAGGTGGTTTGGTGGTGAATCGTTGGAATTGACGGTGTTGTTGGTGCGCGAAGCGGTGGCGAATTGTGTGAAAGTGATAGTTGCGTTCGGTGGTTGTTGTGTGTTTCGGTGGCTGCTGTAGGCGGTGGTTTGACTGGTGGCTGTTTGTTGTTTTTGTTATTGTGGGTTTGTTGTTGGCAGGTGCAGCGGGTTGTTGTGGTGTTTCGTGTGGTGGTGGTGGTTCGAAGGTGGTTTGGTGGTGTGACTTGGTTGAAGTGGTGTGGCTGCTAGAGATGTGTTGATGATGAAGATGTTGGTTGTTCGGTGGTGGTTGTTTGGTGTTGCAAGGAGGTAAAATAGAGAAGGATGAAGATGATGATCTAGAATCTAGATGATGACATGTTGGGTTTGAGTAAGGACATTTTAGGGATTTAAGTGTATTAAGTGGGGATATTTTAGAAATTTTACTTTTTTTATTTTTAAAAAATATTAACCATGGTTAGAAATTAACTAAATTGTTTCATTAAGTTCACCATTGAAAATTATAAATAGTTCAAGTTTACCAAGGATAATAATATTTTTTTACAATTCACCACTGAGAAAATAAAAACTATGGTGTTACCAAAGAGAATTTCCCAAAATTAAATAAGGCCCTAACTTTACAATGATGAGAAATCAAATCTCTATTTTTTTACATATACATTAATCCTCATCACTTTGGAAAATTATCAATTAATCATTATCCAAATAGTCATTAATCAAAAGGTGAAGTAAAAAAACCCTAGCCTCCTCTCTTTCTTCTCTCTCCTAAACTCTAGCCTCCATTATCAATTTTGAAGGGGCTTCCATCGGATTTTATCGGTGGAAAGCCCCAATCTTTATTTTCTTTTAAGCTTTATGTTTCTAGGTTACAATAATAATGTCTCCCTCGAATAAAAGGGTCTATCTCCTTCGAAAGACAAGGTTTTTTCGATCTCCTTCGAAAGACAAGGTTTTTCGGACTCCTTCTAAAGACAAGGTTTTATTTATGTTTAATTTGGTCTCCGGTTGTACGGGGCTACGATTGATTATGGCTCAAATTCGGGTTACGAAATCAGCACAAGAATTAACTTTTTCACAAAATTGCGAAGCGACGACGGATCCACTCAAAAAGTTGTATGAGACAACGAATCGGGAATGTGTCGAATTGTTATATTTATGTATTTGGATTCTTAGCCCTTCCCCGATTAATTCTTGTTTGATTTTGTTAAATTCGTTTTCATTATTGTTAGTTGTCAATTGTAGATGTCGTATGGCTTTATTTAATAAAATTTAATGTCCTTTAGGACTTCTTTCAAAAAAAAAAATAGTCATTAATCAAAATTGGCCACATTTTAAGGTTATAACTAATGTGTAAATAAATGGAAGAAGGGAAGACAAAATAAATAAGAGAAGGCCAAGCATTTATTTTAGCACCCCAACCAACTCAACACAACAACACCACATAGGCATCAAATGAGCAATAACAACCCGTTGTGATAGAACCAGGGTAGCAGACCGCAGTAAATTGAACTAATTAGAACAAGAAAGATAAAGGGAAGATAGAATTGTACCTATAGATCAACAATTCTGTTACAAATCAGACAGATGAAAGATATGGAAAAAATATCAAGTAAGTGTAGGGAATATTTCAAGCATTAATCCGCTAGCTTGAACCCCACTGTGATCATACACTAAAGTACGGTGGCGTCCAAAGGGAAAGAAGATAGAGCAAAAGAGTCGCCAACAAGTTTTTTTTAGGAACTTGTAAACCGTTCACGAGGTGAAGGTTACACCCCTTAATGATCCAAGAGATCGTCAACTCCATAAGGTCTTGAACCAAATAGGGTTCAGGGATGAAGGTACAAATCCAACCTAAACGAGATTGAACCTGCCCTAATAATAGGCCTCTACTTTATTTAGATCGTATTCATGTGCGCTTTCTGACTAACATGCAATCAATAGGATTACCCTAAACCTGTTTATCTATGTTGGTTGAATATTAATGCACAAATAAAACTATTATTGGCGATCACTTGAATTATAATCAAATTATCCCTAAACAAGATTATTAATTATCTTATTAAGCGTGATTACAAGTACCAAATTCCCTTAAACATGCATAAAAAGGTGTGATCAAGCAATAACAATAAATATGTATCAAGCAACATAATAAATCAAAATAATAATAATTATAGTCATCAAGCAACATAAATAATAATAATAATTATAAAAATAATAATCATGTTAAAGCATAACAATAGCAAGATCTTAGGCATGATACTAACAAGATTAATAACAAACCATAGCATGTCACTAAACAATAAAAATCAAAACTTTAACCCTAACATGATACAATTAAATAAAAACAAACAATTAAATTAAATAATTGAAAGAGAGATTTTGGACCAAACCCTCATAAATTAAACCTTTCACGTCTAGGGCGAAGGCAACTTCGAATATGGCTAGGTGTGTCTAACTCTTGCGAATGCGGAATTTTGTATTTGAGAGAAGGCTAGTTTAGAAAAGAGAGAGAGAGAATAATCAAGAAAATCTTGATGAGATTTGGTGAATCAAAACGGAGTTTTTAGGAAGCTATTTATAGAGAAAATCAGCCAAAAAGATAAAACATCAAAAACAGAGTTCTGACGCGCAAAACTAGGTTAGCGCCAGGCGCTAAGGCTAGCGCCTGGCGCCAAGCGTAGCGTCAGGCGCTACAGCTGGCATTTGGCGCTGACTTAGAAATTAACGTGTTTTCTTAAAATCAGATAGAAATTGTCGTACAGGAGGATAAAATCGTATTTTCCTCAAAAACGTTCTTTTATTCTGATAAAAACTCTAAAAAGTCAACAAAAGTCAATTTATCAATGCTAATTAAATTAGGAATGAAAAGAACCTTCTAGAAGAATCTAGAAGACTAAAATCATTCCTAATTGCATTAGGAATGATAAATCCACATTAGACCCTCCTCTAGATCATTGGGCTGCATATAAGGCTCAAACCAGACCCAGTTCAGTAATTTGGCCATAACTTCCTCAATATTCATCGGAATTGGGCTTATAATATATCGTTGGAAAGCTCTTTTCAAGCCCTATCCAACTACACTATTATTGTAACCATATCATGGACCAACCAAACTCTATTGACTGTTTTCTTAAAATAGGTTTTCAAAAACAGAGAGAAGAGAAAAGAAATTAACCTATCCGCAACACTAAACTTTCCACACTTTCACTTCATTCGATTATGATTCGACGTGAAAGGTACTCATCACTGGGTTTGGTTTTGGGGAGACACAAATGGGTGTCTAGATTAAGCTGTTCATATTAAAGGTTAGATGAAAATTGAACCAATTAGAACAAGAAAGAGAAAGGGGAGATAGAATTGTACTTGTAGATCAACAATTCTGTTACAAATCAGACAATAATGCTACTAACAATATAAAAAATCAACCCAAAAAAACGATACATCACTCAAATTTAACCCAAAAAAAAAACCACTACACCTCTTAATTGAAGCAAGCAACACTGCCCAATTTCAAACTTGTTTTTTGCAACCACCCCCAACCCAAAATGTGATCTAGAGACCAAATTATTAGCGTCCACATTGAACATGATAATACCTTTAGGGGAGATCCAACCTGATGCAGAAGGGTAGTCATGAGCTGCAGTTCTAAAGAATACTTTGTGTGAACTATGGTAAATGTTATGTTTTCAAAGATGAATTTGTTCCTGTAGAACCAAATAGCACACATCATAACAAGTATAGATGCGAGTCAAGAAGGATTATTACAGCAAGAATAGGAGGAGTTTTCCCTGAAGAAGCAGGTTCGAAGCCACATCCTTCCTTTATCCCCTGCCATAAGAAAATTTCGGAAGATTCAAGCCTTAAAGGCATAGAGCATATAAGTCTTATGATCTAGTACATTGAAAGTGTAAGAATCAACACGTGACAACAATCATCATGATACTTGCACAGAAGCTAAACAGAGCAAAAATTCTCCAAGCTCGTAAAATTAAGGTTCAATACTAAGACTTACTCAATTGCATTAACTTTAAATATTAATAGAAACCATATATAATAAGCCTCGAAAAATTAAACATGTATATGTTTGTAAAATTATTATAATAGCATGCAATTAGAACAACTATAGTTGAAATAAAAAAATAATTCCTAAGCATAGCTAGAAACCAACACTGAAAAATACACAAAAAAAAATATATAATACCCACAAAATAATTCCTAAGCAAATAATTTACGCTAGGTAATTGTATATCAATTGCTTCCATACTCAAATTAAATTCAACTCTGCCAAACGCCATTAACAAAATTTCAACATAATTAAACCATAATTCCTTAATACATAACCCATAATTCCTTAATTAATAACCCATAATTAACCAAAGAATTCTTCAAACAATTAAACAGATAAATCAAGTACCAATTACTGATAAATAACACAAATGAAATAAACAAATGGTAAAATTGCAAGAATCAAGAAAATTGAAAAAAGAAAAAAGAAAGCATACGAAGAGAAGCAAACAGGATAAGCAAACGAGGAGAAGCAAAGAGAACATAATCAGCTTCGAGAATTCCGACTAAAAGCTTCAACGATGGGAGGGTAAGCAGGGGAGGACCTATTAAGGGTCCAGGATGGCACTGCCTCCCCTCCCCCCCCCCCCCCCCCCCCCGAAAATAATTTTTTTTATTTACTTAGATAACTGTATAAATTTATAAATTAAATACAATTTTAATGTAATAAATAACATTAATTTAGCTTTGTCACGGTAATAATGCATTTATTTTATGCAAGAAGTCTTAGGTTCAAGCCTTCGCATAAGAATTTTTTTAGTTTTTATATTTAGTGCCCCTCCACACTAATTATTCCACATCCGCCACTGTAAGTACTGTCAACCTCAAGATTAGTGTTGATTATCGCCAATGGCGAAATAACGATGTAATTGATTTTTCATTGTTTGTATTGATTCTGAACTTATCGTCATCGCTGAATTCATTCAAAAATTAAAAATCTCATAATTGAAAGTTTGGGCTTTAGAATTTGATTGTGGGGGAGGAGGGGGAGAGAGAAAGTACCTGCTCAGAGGAGGCCTTTGTTGTAGGGATCCACAAATGGGGGCGAAACTGATTATTGGTTTCACCTGAACCTGCATTACGAAGAAAAAAAATGATCTGATGAAAACCATTAATCTCCCAAATCCTTACTAATTAAAACAACAAAAAGGCAGAAAATAGAATATAAAAAACAAAAATCTTGATCATAGATTATAAATAGATAGGAACGGAGAATGATTCAGAACGTTTTGCGATCCTAAATCACTCTTGTAACGCCGATACCTGCAAACTAGCGTTAGTTAAACAGATAAAAGAGTTATGAAACGCGTATCTTGCACCATTGAGCACAGGTCTCTGAAAGTAACCAATTTGATGCCGTTTTACTGTTTTGATGACCTCCTGCCAAGAGAATGTCATCCTACTTGAAAACTGCTACGCTTGTAACTGTCTCCAATATCGAAGATTGTTTCGCTTGAAACGATCCTCTTCCACTTTGTGACCATCTTCCACAACTTAGGGAACACGATCGAAGACAACTTCGCTTGAAATCACCTTCAGTTGTTTGTGACAACTCTCCTCAATCTAGGGAACGCTGCCGAAGATATCCTTGCTTGAAGCTATCCTCATTTGTTGCGATAATTTTCCAAAGGAAATTATCGAAGATCTCCGCTTGTTGATCTTTAAAAAGCTCGCTTGAACTTTGCTTCCGCTATGCCTGTACGTCGGCGCTTTTGCTGCTTGTGAACCATTATGTCGGTGCCTTTTCGAATGAACCAGTATGTCGGTGCCTTTTGCGATGAACCAGTACGTCGGTGCCTTTTGCGATGAGCCAATGCTTAGGCGCTTTAAGCTAAGTGAGACGATCTTTCATCAGGTCGATCACTTTGTGTAATCAAGCCGATTACTAAAAATCGTGTCAAATTTCTTAGAGGGACTAACTGGCGTACCAAGGAACCCAAAATATATTGCAAAAGGTTAGAACAACCGTACTAAGTGGCTGAACATTCTGACGCCGCTGAAATAACATCAGCGCCACTTAACTGGCTGTAGCGCCAGACGCTGGAGCTAGCGCCAAGCGCTAAAGTCAACGACTGACGCCAAGGTCTGACGCTTGGCGCTAGAGTCGGGTTTTCCTTAAATACCCTTCTCTTCTTCATTTCCGCTGCTGCTCGTCGCGTTTTGGCTTGGAGAATTCTCAGAACTTCAATTCACTCCTTCTTGCTCGTTTCTCAACCAAATCCGCTCAAATTTGTTGCAAATCAAAGCTTATTCCATCCATTTTCCCGATCTATGTAAGTTTTTCTTCAAACTTACACCGGTTTTAATGAATTTTGTATGTGTTTATTCACAAATTTCTTGAAAATTCAAAACTTAGAATGCTTAATTCTCTTTGTTTGTCAAATTTTATGCAATGAAATTTCTTGATTATGTTTATATATTGCTTTGGGAGTAATTTTAGACTTGTTTGACTCAATTTGGTGAAGAAATGAACAAATTGCCATTGTTGAACCTCTTAAGGTCGGGAATACAATGTGGCTTGTTCTTGATGTTTTTGCTAGCAATTCTTGTCCAATTTATCACAATAACTACTATAGTATTGCAAGAAATTTTTTGATTGCTTGAAAAATGTTGTTATGCTCAATTTGAATTTGTGCTCTGTTTTAGTACTACGTACTCTATTTTTTTTACGAACATAGTATCATGCGGCTAGGCGAACCTTAGATACTATAGAACCTTAATTTATGGTAATTCTGCACAATGTAGCATGGCTAGACAACGAGGTTCCAGTTCACGGTCCCGAGACGTTCGACGAGAGCATGAGCCCCTAGAGGACGATGCCGAGCCGTCCACTTCGCTTGGTCGACTCCCTGAGTGGGATGAGCGGACCTTGTATTTTTCTCCCGTCCACCACATATCTGAGAGGGTGAGACGGGGCATCACTGTTGGGAGGACGCGCTGTCATGGTTCCGGATATGACGGCTTGGGTGATCTGTACAAGATGTACATCGCCAGAGACGATCAGACGAGACTTCTATGGGAGTCTTGTGGTCTTACTGCGCTGTTTGAGACCTCACATGCAATGGTTGCCTCCAGCGGGGGTCACCATGTAGTTCGTGCTCTGGTGGAGTTCTTTTGGGACACCACCAACACTTTCCACTTTCCCTGGGGTGAGATGATGGTCACTCCTACGGACTTCAGTTTCATCACATGACTGGATTTTAGGTCCGTGCCACTGCCGTTCGATAGCGGGATCGACGTCTTTTCTCCTGAGGCCGAGGAGCTATTGGGTTCGATTGCTATTCGGGCTCGAGCAGAGTTAGAGTCGACTCAGTTCAGCGCTAGGGGGATTCGCCGCTCGACTCTAGCAGCGGCTTTCGACGGTGGTGCGACAACCCGAGAGCAACGGGTCCGCATCTTTGCACTTATCTTGCTGTCAGGGACGTTCTCCCCTGACAAGTGTAGTAGGGCGCTGCTTTACTACCTTCCTTCCGTCCGCGATCTACACCGGATCGGGACTTATGACAGGGGAAGCTTGGCCTACGCTGATTTCATTCGAGCGCTGTGGGACTGGTGTCGACATCGGTCCTTTGGGTCGAATGTTGCTTTGTTCGGCTTTCGTAGGGTCGTAGAGGTAAACCTTATTCCCTATAAAGTTTAGCTCTACATTTTAGTTAGCATTTGCTGATAACTTTAGTTTCTTGTAGATCTAGTTCTACATGTACTTCCCCTCAGTTGCGCCTGCGAGACCGTCGCCTCGCAGGTTTCCTGTTAGTGCTTCCTGGGACAGCCGCCGTGTGGGGATGTCCACTGCCTATGTCCAAGATTGGATCATCTCGGTATGATTCTTTTCTTACTTGTCATTTTGTGATGCCTTAGATAGATTCTTGCCTGATTGACGCTCTTTGCAGTAGCCTGAGGTGTTATACCGACCGTGGGTCGACCTAGCAGTCCCTGGGTTAACCGCGCAATATTCTGTTGAGCGTCACTATTTCTTAGGGACCTATGGAGCGACTGCTTACCTTGGAGAGAGGGTTGCTATTCAACATTCCTCCGATACCTTTGTCGTTCTTTCTCCTCCACCACGTTACATATTTAACGCCACGAGGTTGGTGAGCACGTCAGATGGGACTGATACCCCTTGGCGATCTTACACGATCCCTGGGCGATGCTATGGGGAGGAGCTACTGCCGTTGTTAGCTCCAGTTCCTGTATCTGCCGAGGATGTGGCGGTACAATTTTAGCTTTTATATTTCATTAAGTAGCCCCCAAGTAATGCTTTACTGATTCTGTTTTGCCTTGTCAAGACGATACTGCTGAGTTCGTGCCACCCCGTATGTCTATCCATTAGTAGGGGACATATGGGCCGATTGAGGAGATGATTCCTCCGGCTCCTGAGGACGAGCGCTTTGTGTTGCGGTCGATTCCTCGGCACCAGACTCGGGTAAGATTTTTTATTTGCAACCTTTGTCCATATATGTTATGCATGTTTACTGACTTATTTCTTTGACAGTTCTCACGCGAGGTGGTTTCGGCGATGGCACGATGCATAGATGCCTTTCGGAGCCAGCTTGTCCGGATGAGGAACGTGGCTACCTGACGTCGAGCCAACGCTATTCAGGAGGTAGTCTTCCCTTCATATGTTCTTGTATTACCGCTTCATTTTGCCTGTTTCTGATTTTAATTTAATTTTTGCAGGGTCAGCCCATTCCTTCTCGTACCCATACGAGACCTGAGGTGCGGAGGGATCCGGCGAGGTCTAGCTCGAGACGTCGCCGCACTACTTCGGGAGGTCGGGGTGGTCGTTCTGAGGCTGCCCGTACCGAGGCAGTAGAGGGCTTAGGTTCTTCCTCTGAGGGTGCACATGCTGCGCCGGTAGGCCAGGGAGAGGCTACCTCGGCTCTTAGAGCTGGTGGGATGTATGAGGTTGGCTCGTCATCGTAGCAGCCTCCGCAGCCTCAGCCTCAGGTTGATCTTGGGTGGACGGGTGCTGTGTTGAGATTTCCTCCTTCCGCGGAGACCGGAGCTGATGCTGGAGCTGGTCGGTGCTGGTGGAGGGGTTACTCCTCGCACAACGGAGTTTTATGCGATGATGGGTTTATGTCCCCCGGCGCCGTAGTTTGTTCCTGTGAGTTTTATTATTTATTTTGACTTTGCATAGAACTTTACCTTTTAGTTAGACTCATTTTTTAGACATGTTTGTTTATACATACTATTATGAGTTTGTTTTATTTATCATATTTTTTCATTTTTTATTATTATTATTATGTGCATGTTTGTGTGTGCAAGAAAATGTGACAAATAATTTTTGCGCAAAAATTCCGTCATTTTTATTATTGATGGAGGGTATCCGACTTTCTCCCCTAAAAAGAAAAAATGAAAAAAACGGAAAAGTTAAATAAAATATTGAATTTATAAAAACTTGAAAATTAGGCTAAATAAAAAATCCAAAAAATAATATAATTAATAAGATAGCTATATTAATTTAAAGAGAAAAATAAACGAATATTTAGAAAAAGATAAGGAAGCCGTAAAGTCATTAGCACACTCGAATTAAGGTAAAAAAGCGGTTTTTAGAAAGCGCATACGATGAGGATAATTGGCGCTAGTTGGCGCCACGCGTTTTGGTGTAGCGCCAGGCGCTACACTTAGCGTTTGGCGCCAGGCTCTAGCGTCAGGCGCCAATAGTAGTGTCTGGCGCTAAATAGTGCTGACTCCGAATCCTTCCCAGATTAAAACTGCTCTGATTTTGTGCATAAATAGCCCCCTGTCCAGCCGATTCTCTTCATAATTTCAGCAGATAAAATATTTCTTAGCTTTTAGAAAAATAATATCATGTCTCTAGTCACCAAGAGTTTCACCAACTACACCCATAAATGGTGTCGGTCTCTTAATGCCAAAGAAAGAAAAGAATTAGATGTGTTTCACTTGGGGGGTATTTATGTTATCAAAGGGGTAGATCTTGATTCAGATTTTATTCATACCGCTCTAGAATATTGGGATGTAGATACTCATTGTTTTAGAATAGGGTATGATGAAATTAGCCCTTTGCCGGAAGAATTCGGTGCTATTTTAGGTTTCCCTGCAATAGATC